TAGGAACTAAAACTTGCAGCCATACGTCAAGCATACATCTTCAGGAAGCAGACCTCATAGAAAATCTAACCCGTGCCCAAGCTGCAGCAGCTAGATCGCCTATGATAGAACCTGCACACCGGGAGATCAGAAGCCTTCTAGTAGATTTTTATTCCATATCACCAGGGACCACAACTCTGAAGCTCGCAGTTCAGCAAAGATAGCACTTGAGGACGATAGTTCAAATGCTCCCAGGCTGAATTGTAGCAATCCGGATCATTATAACAGATAATGCCCCTTTAGTCAGGTTATCACGCATGTACATCTATAGGACAATGTTATCACTTATGTGTAGTAATGAAATCGGTAAGAAAACTTGATATATGTACAAAGATAGATACAGATCTAAAACATCATACACATCAATTTAATATGCATAATCTGTTGAAAGGAGAGATATTGCATGAGGTCTTGGGACATAAGAACATACACAACAAACAATCGGAACAATAAAAGGAACATTACTTTCCTAGCACTGTACATAAAAAACTAAATACACCATGTTTGGCAAGTTTGCATGCATGCTTCGGAATTTATTTGCGGCAGCTTCACCTATAATGTTACTGTGAAGGAGACAAAAGGTTGCTGATAGCCTGATACAAAAGAGAGATGACTTAGTATATGACCATAATAAAAATATGACCTGGTAATGTTACTATGAAGATATTAGCAGGAATAAGACTGGGCATAAAGACACCTGGTAGTGCCTCAATATATTTGGTGGTAGGGAAACGCTTTTGAAATTGCACGCTTCTTGGATGTACGCATCAGACTTAGGAAAAGAATGGCAGGTGACAATTATTATATAATTAAGATCACTGGCCTACTTTGTTTTTCGTCATACAACTTGTTGATAGACATTCAAAAAGAATGTACACATAGGGTAGATAGCAATTACAGAAGTATAAAACAGAGCTTTCTCAACAAAATCAGCTATTGTATGAAAAATGAACCATGATAGAACTGGTCGTTCAATCTATATAATGCAAAAGATTATGAAGATAGCAATGTATCATGCCTATCAAGAAGATACACCGGACATTATTCTTACAACACACAAATGAGATTTCTTTAAATAAAATGGATCATAAATTTATTGAATTCATTTTTGTTCCAAAGATGCAAATAATGACTTGCTATATGAACTAATGAATTTGTTATCAATGACTGCATCAAAGTTGAAGACATAATTGGTACACAATGGAGCATAAAGATTACCTAGATTCATTTTCAAGCCAAATCTGCCACCAGTTTCTCATCAAAGACCTTGCCGACATATAGATTAAAACATCTGCACAAACAAACGTTAGATGGATTGGGGGTTTTATAATTGCCAAGCAACTGCAGCCCGAGATATTGTGGTAGTTGCCCTGGAAACAAAAGATAAATCAAAACTTTTCCCGAGAATATCAATTGAAAGTATGTACATCAACAACAGTAACAGAATCATTCGAGAAATTTATGGGATATTGGGAGTGAGGGAGAAAGTATGTACATCAAAAACAGTAACAGAATCATTCGAGAAATTTATGGGGTATTGGGAGTGAGGGAGAGAAGAGCGAAGGGCAAGCTCGGGAGGCTGGTAGATACATGTCCCATAGCCTTGTAGGAGTCGAGAACCTTAGAAGGAGGAGGATTGCTTACCTACAAAAGGGGCAAAGGAGGCAAGGTCATTGTGAATCAATTAGTTTCTTCTGTATTTTTTATCATGATTCACTTCATAATAGATGGATACATCAGAAATCACAGAAATAAAAAATACCTAGAAAAGAAACCACTCAAACTCCCATTACATGGACCCATCTATATATAGCTTCTCACGGCATCTTCCTTCTTCATATGAGCAGTGAAGGAATATGTCCCTGCCGCCGTTCCGGGAGATGAAGCGGAACCCCTTTGTTTTCCATCCCTGTGCAATTGTTGTATGGAGTAAACGCAGGAGACGACACCAATCATACTATACACGTGCTTTTGATGTCTATAATGCAAGAGGGAACACATGATTAACTGTGAGTAACCTGGACAACATGACACGATTTCGAATCAAAGGTGCAGACACCAACCTGATGTTGGAGACGCTGGGAGCGATGTCGCTACTATTGAAAGGGGCAGGGGAAGTCGTTCGAGAGCCGGCAGCCGCGTCTCTTCTGGGTAATTGGGCGGTGGTGGAGGTCGCTGTTGAGGAGGTAGTTGCGGTGGCTGACGTTGGGCGCCTCGAGCCTGCAAGGTAGCGGCGAGATCCCGATGCATCTGCTGCACCTTCCGGTGGCGGATCTGACCGGCGCACGTGGATCCGTGGAGGGACGTGTTGTATGGCAACTGGTGACAGAGAAGCTCAATCATTGTTCGTCGAAGGAGGAGGTGTTCGCACACCAGATCTGCCTGGGGCTTGGGTGAATGCTGGAGGGTTGGGTTGTAGGCCGCCGTCCGGTGGTGCATCGGTGTGGGTTGTGATGGTGTCGCTTGCTCTGCCCCAGGATACATATTGAAGAGCAGGGAGATGGACCGATGGGCTTCTCTTCGTCAGTTTTTACACCGAGGCCCGCTTCAATTAATTACCAGAGTTGAATCACATGATTCGTTCAATTGTCTCAAGAAAAAAAAAACATGATTCGTTGAAAAGATGTTGAGGTGGCAAGGCTGCTGATGTGGATAGGCTGCATGTCAAGAGAAATAACATAGTGGGGATGAACTATTTAGGTATTATAGATTCGCCGATGTAGGAGGTGAGACCCTCGGCAGCTCGAAGCTCCTGGATCTGCTTGAGGAGGTCCGTGTCGGCGCCATCAGTGTTAGCTTGCATGTCGTTGACGATGGTGCCGACCGCTGCACCAACCGCTCCGTCGACCACCGCATCAACAAAACACGCCATCGCCGCACGTACCGCGCTCCCCGTCGCCGTCACAATGAGCGCGCCGAGCTCCTTCTGGTGACGAAGGTGGGCTGCTTCGCTCGCCTAACTGAGCGTCTTATAGATCGCCTCTCCTTCTGGAGTCAAGTACTCCATGAGCTCTTGCTGTCGCTGCCAGACGCGTGTCATGCAGATGATCCGACGTGAGGTGGGTGAAATTTTTGGCTCTACCAACTGTTAGTTACAGGATGGTGAATCGGAGGTAGGCTATGGGATCATTTCAAATTCACTAGGTGGGGTGTCTGTCTTGCTTACAAGGGAAGGGACAAGGAAAGGATTGCAAGTCAATGACTGCTAGCCGTTTATCAATTAGCCACCTAATACGGAATCAACGAAGGTATTTATAATCCTCACGTTAGGACCCAATCCCCATTGCGGGTCAATGGCTGACGGGCTCTCTCGCTGGGCTCTCTTACTGGGCTGGCCCTCCTTGGTGATGAAGGTTGCACTTGTGTCGTTTCTAGTCAGTGCAGGCCCAGTGCTAACATTGATTCCCACAAGGCCGTCACTGTGACCGGGCCACCATCAGGGACGGAGCTAGGAATTTTATTTGAGGGAGCTCACTGAAACATCTAAAGCATTGAGGGGGGCCATACATAGGAATTTAGTGGTCAAATTCATCAAATCCACGCACTACATAGGTGTAGTTTGAGAAATTTTCACAGCATGGGGGGAGCCATGGCCCCGGCTCGCCCCCTGCTGGCTCCATCCCTGGCCACCATACTGTCACTTTCTTGCCTTCGCCCCTTCTACTTAAATCTGGGCTACAGATGGGAAGATGGACATGTGGGGCTGGGTTGGCCTGTTTTCGCTTGTTCTCTGTTGTTTGCCTATTTTGCTTGTGTTCATTTGAAATGTATCACTGTTAATATGGACAGTCTCCAAGATGCAACTCCGACCATTACTATGATGTGAATATATTGTTAAAAAGTAGAAAATCACATAATTATGATATTTTTCATGACAAATCAAACGTATTACTCGTGCTATTAATTTTGAATAATATTATCCTCATTTAACTAATCTCAACTATCATTTTATATATATATATAGTTGATGTTAGATAAGTTTGATGGCACACCTTAACTAGAAGCTTGGTAATTGTATCGTTGTCTCAGATTTGTTGGGATCATGTCTTAGCGCCGCGAAGAATGCAAACTTTGACCTGCATTTTTATTCAGACATGACACATGTTCTGCGATCCCATTCCTTGATCTGATCGACCAGGTTTCTGGTAACTATGGGCCGTTATACCTGTTGGGAAATCTCTCGGTAGACGAAAATTCATCGTATTCTCTTTACATCGAATGACCCAATTGTTATGATTATATTTTTCTAAAATTTTACTCCCTCCGTTCACAAATATAAGATGTTCTAACTTTTTTTTTCTGAATCGGATGTATATAGACACGTTTTAGTATGTTTGTTCACTCATTTCAGTCTGTCTATAGTCCATATTAAAATATCCAAAACATCTTATATTTGTGAACGGAGGGTGTATCTATATGCTATATCACACTATTGTGAATAAAATGCCTTACCGCTCATCCATATTAGGTGAACCGATTCGTTATATTGCTGAATTTATGCTCAGTGACACCAACGCATTATCAAATCCTAGAACAAGTAGTCAACTATAACTATATAGTTATAACATACGGTGTACTTGTTAGCGAATGCTGAAAGCGTGAAGATACATTGGCAACAGTATTAGTTATAATGTTACTTGGTTTGGCTTCCTACTGGAGGGTGGCTGTTGAGCATGTGTTGGAAAGGCAGTTCACTTTTGCTAGATCGAAACTTAAAAGAGTTCTTGTAGTTGAATCTCAAATCAAATTGTCTGTACAATATCTCATCTATAGGAGGCCTGGAGAGTTGTTAACTCAAAGAAGTGGAGTCGCAAGCACTTCTCCTCTGCAGGAAGTGCATGCAAGGCTGATTTCTGAAGGATAAACTTCATCTATCATTCTATCAATTTCTTTCCCTCACACGATTGTAATAAGCCTGAATTTGCCACAACTGTCTCATTGAATTTGCCTCTTTTTTTCAGCTCGAATGTATTTCCTGTGGTTACACATGGTTTTCGTCAAGAGATGCCATCTCATCGCTGACGGTCGATACTCCAAGTTCTGGTGGGAATGTAGGCACCGCTCCCTGGGCAACAGCAAAGTTTGATGTCCTTCAGAAGCAGCTGGTGAGCCCTCGGGATCAGCCAGACAATAAGGCAAGTGCTGATGCTCTCCAGAAGAACACGGTGGCATCCATTCCTAAACTTGAGAGGCAGAAATCATTCATCAAACCGAAGCCAGAGGAGCCCTCTGCACCCACACTGGAGAAACAGAAGGCGTTCACCAAGCTAAAGCCGGAGGAACCCTCTGCACCCACACTGGAGAAACAGAAGGCGTTCACCAAGCCAAAGCCGGAGGAACCCTCTGCACCTTCGGCTAGTCATTAGTGAATGATCATGGGCGTTGCAATGTTTCAGAGATTGTACACCGGCAGCTCTTAAACATTCAGTAGAAGCATGAATAGGATGACAACACTTTCTTGTAGTCTATCGTTAAAAATTTCGTTAAAACTAGTTTCATACTTCCACAAGCTACTTTTGATCTCACTCTTGTTACGGTTGGCACTAAAAAACTCTTAGGGCAAAAGCCACCAGTGAGGGCCAAGTGGTTGGCTCTAGGTGATTTCAACCAAATATATCGTGCAAGAGACCAGCGGAATGTTAACAGAAGCAGAATAAACCGTTTCCAGACAACTCTACAGAACCGCGAGCTCAGGAGATCCATTTGCAGAATTACCGCTTCACATAGAGTAATAAAAGGACAAACCAAGATGACTCTACAGAACCGTGAGCTCAGGAGATCCATTTGCAGAATTACCGTTTCACATACTGTAATAAGGGGACAAACCTTATTGCTGCTTGACATGGAGTAACGAGGGTAAAACCGGCCCATTTTGTCTGGTTTTGTCGTGTGTCTGTGTGGATGCATATCCGGTCTAAACACCAGACAAACTGTCGCGTGTCCACTCGGTGTCTTGCTCGGGGCTGAATTTGGGCTGGATTTGCATCCACATGGACACGAGACGGACATGTCACACATTAGCTTGGTGTCTAACTTGGGTCCGTGCGTTGGTCACCTAACCATTACCTACCTCATATTTAATTCCACACGGGTGGGAGGCTTTGCACGTGAGCCACCCAACATTCCCTCGTTCCTTTTTTAATGTCACACGTCCGATGGGGTCATCCAGTCCACTTCCCAATTTCTTCTTCCCTCTGCCCCTAGTTGCCCGACAACCCTAGCTGTTGGGTTGCGCTAGGTGCATTGGCTGCAATATAAAATTTTTCTACGCGCAGATCAACCAGGAACATGCTAATGGAGACGAATCACGTGATCAATATCACTAGTCGCACATTGCCATGCAGCGGAAGTAGAGTTGGAGCATCACGTTTTCTGAGTCGTCTCCTCGTCGATTCCTCGAACATCCAGTCGTCGGATCCCACGAACAGGTTTGCCGGAGCGGTGTAAGTGCCTCGCCTATATCTGCGCATGCAGGAGGAACATCGTGCGGTGGACCGCTAGGTTCGGTCGCACAGCGGGCGACGAGTAGATGTGGCTAATTGCAACACATGCAAAGCCCTAACAAAAAACACTAAAGCGATCAACTGAATACGTGTGGCGCACCTCCATTATATATAAGCATCCATCGCGGGCTCAACACATGGGCCCCACATGTCTACTCAGCCCAGATCCAAGTTCAGGTCGAATCACATCCGACCCATGAAGTCGAATTAGACCTCGTAGGTTCCTTCCCTTAAGTGTGCGACCCCTTAGGTTCATGTTGGCTTGGTCGCAAGCCAGATCACATCCGACCTGCTCGGTTGGTAGCGGCCTCTAGCAAAGCATGCCAAGCATTAAGCAGGCAATGAAGCTGGTTTGGTGAACATGTACAATGTGTCACACTTCTATTCCCTTTGCCTCACGATATGTGTTGTCGGGCTCAAGACGAATCGGTCATCCTTGTTGCAGCTCGAACTCTTTCTCATTCCAATGATGCCGATCTACAACCGGATTATCTCAAACTCATGTTGCGTGGCCATACTTATCGAGGTCGGATTACACGAGGGGCCCAAAGTATATATCTTCAGATCAGAGGGGCAAATCCCATCTTGCTTGACCAATGTCTCGCGACATGGGTCTGGACAAGCCCAAAACCAACCTTTATAACTACACACTTTCAGAGTAGCGTTTGGTCGGCCCAAAGCAGGCCGGTCACCGTCCCGAGTCCATGCGCCAGCTCAGGTCTTAGGACACAGAACAAATGTTGTACTAGTTACTCACAGATGACCTATCGCCGCGTCTCATGGTTGGGTCTGTCCGACCTAATGTCCATCTGAGCTCGGATCCGATCACCCATATTCGACATAGGATCCGACCAGGTCCATGCAGTCTGTTAACATATAATGCTCCATGGTTAGCGAGATCCAGCCTTCTATCGTGTTGCTGTCGGGCCCGTGGGACTAGGGGTACCCAGGACCGTCCCAAGGCGCGACGCTCGATGCGAGTCCGGTATGACCCATCTTCAAGACTTCAAGAGCAAGAACCTTGTGAGGGCCCCCGCTTCGCGAGGCGCCCAACGACGAGCTACCCAGGAGCTCCAGAGGCCTTGTGCTAGGTGGCATCCCCAAGCTGCCTCCCGAGGCCTCCTCGCGGGTGGATACCCTCAGGGCGCCAAGTCCCGCCTCCCGGTGCACGTGGGTGATGCGAGCCACAACGAGCAGCACCAGAGCCGTGCCAGCAGGCGCGGATGGTGGAGCTTTCCTCTTCCGTGCTAAAGGAGCAGGGCAGCTCACCGGCTCCCAAAGTAATCTCTAAAGGTTGCTACTCCGGTGCAAGAAGACTAGGACCGCGGGCTCACTAGGACAAAGGTCATCGCCGAGGCCACCGACACGTCATGTCTAGAAGGTTTAGCACGCAGAGACTGCTTTTGCCAGGATATGCTGTACTGCTGCCCCCTTCGAATTTGGCCATTGTGGCAACCCTTCCCGCTTAGAGTTTTGGGGGGAAGAGGACCAAGGCCAATATAAATATTGGTAGAGCGCCACCGTAGGAGGAGATCCATCCATCGAGTCCTGAGGCCTCTAAGGGCAGCCCACACTTGTACTCGCATGTTCATCCTCCCTCGCGAGGCAATCCACAAAATGCAGGAGTAGGGTCTTACACCTCACGGTGACCCGAACTTGGGTAAACTGCATGTCTCTGATCCTTCTTCCCTCTCGCTCGAGCATGTCGGAGCATCGCCGTGAGGCAGTGAGCAGCGAGGCCAAGCGTAGCGAAGTTCTGTGAGCACACCCCAGAGTTTGAACCTTTCTTGGGTCCTCGAAGCCCCAGTTCTAACATTTGGCATGCTAGGTAGGGGTGTGCCCGAGTTCTTCCGCTGCACTCCGGCCTCTGCTCCGCAGCCACCATGGTCGACGCTCGTCATGCTCGAGCTGAGTGCCGTGCAACTCGTGTCGCCCAAACGGGGCCCATGGGCCGCGGTGGCCGCCGCCACTCTGCCCAGACGCGACCAACACCGCCATTGACCCTGCCACCCATGAGCAGCAGGACTCCTCCCTGCACCCCTCCGTGTGTCAGGACGGTCACACCGCCACGACATCACTCGCCGCTGCTATGGGCTCGTCCTCCCACGGTCTTCAGGGGCCGATGAATGCGCAGGCCGCGATGCTCATGGTGCGCGAGCTTCTTCATTACTGCCCGACCAACAACGGCTATGACGTCTGGCTTGGCCGCATCACCGAGCTTGTCAACGCTGCGGGAGAGGCCCTGATGCCCTCTCACTCGCTTCACCCTCCACCATTCCAGGCTGCGCCGTCCCGCGCTGGAGATGGGGCGCATGGGGCACCTTCACCGTCTCCGTTGCGCGGCGACATCGTCGAGCCTCGACGTGAAGCGCGCCCGCGTGACCCGCTGCGAAACGCCTGCACCAGCCCGGGACGAGGCCAGCTGCCAGATCATTCACCGCGCGCCACCTGACGCGCACATGCTCCTCGAGCAGCGGTAGCAATGCCAAGACCGAGCTGTCCAGGAGGTCGCAGTGGTCGGGCACCAGAACTGCCCGCCCTCGCATACGGTGCCCCTTCAAGCAGAGTCGGCTGTCGGGCCCTCACTCGCGAGCTGCGCCCGGTGGTTTGGCCCGCCAAGTTCAAGCCAGACCTGCCTCCGTGCTATGATGGCGGCCCCAACCCTACGGAGGTCCTCCAGTTCTACGCGCTGAGTATTGAGGCCGCAAATGGTGACGACAAGGTCATGGCAAACTAGTTTCCCATGGCCCTTAAGGACGACGCGCACTCCTGGTTCATGAACCTGCCCGAAGAGTCAATCTCTTCGTGGGCTGAGCTGTGCGAGCTGTTCATCGCCAACTTCAGAGGAACCCATGGCCGTGTCCTCACCATGAGCGACCTGCAGTGCGTGAAGTAGCGCCCCGACGAGACCATCCGCTAGTACATCGAGCTCTTCAGCCAAGTGTGCCACAAGATCCCGCACGCCTTGGACGAGGCCATCATCATGGCGTTCACCAATGGAGTCAAGGACGTTCACATGTGATAGAAGCTTGCCATCCACGACCACCTAAGTATGGCCCTGGAGCTATTCAACCTCGCAGACAAGTGCGCCAAGGCTGAGGAGGGCCGCCTCTTCCTCAACAATGACCCGATGCGCCCCTCGACAACAACAAGGCCAAGGGAAAGAAGGTCAAGCGCAAGGGCCCTGTCGTGCTGGTGACTGAGCCCGAGCAAAAGCGCGGCTACATTCGCAATGAGCCCAAAGGGAGCAGCCACCTGTTCCGCACCTACCACAACATGCGCGCGCACAACACCAACGACTGCCAGGAGCTCAGGGCGCTCCGCGACGAGCGCTTGGGCCATTGTCCTGACCACGACGATCATGGCGCTGGCTGCGGAGGCGGCCGCAGCGTCGGCCGGTAGGATAACTGCAATGGCAACCCATGACAGGCCTAGCATGACCAGCCCCGCGATGGACCATAGCGTGACCAGCCTCGCGAGGATGGTTGGCACGACCGGCCTCACGAGGGCGCTTGGAGTGATAAGCCTCGTGAGGCGCGCCCTTAGGGCCACGCTGCCCTTCCACCGCTACCGTCGCCCCTAGAAGGAACGATGACAACTAGCGTGACGAGGGGGCCGGGGCCTACCAGGAGCCTCGCATGATAGCTTGTATCCTCGGTGGAGCTCAGGCTCCCACGTCCAACCGCATCTTCAAGTAGTTCTTTCGCGAGGTAAATGCTTCCCTCCCGAGGGTCGAGGCCGCGGGGCTCCTCAAGTGGTTGCAGTACGCTATCGCCTTCGACTCCAAGGACCACCTCAGGTGCACAGCCACCACCGGCGCGCTCCCCATGCTGTGCACGCCCATCACCAGCAACGTCTCTGTC